AGTTGGCGAGAACAAAGAAATTTAGAGCCGAACTCTTGACGATGTGATTTAAAGCGTATTGATCCTATAGTCAGCATCGTCTCGAGGAAGAGGCGGGATGTTGGCTGAGGTACTTAGGATTTACAGGGTGAGGGGGTCTCCGTTGCATTGCTTTAGAGATTTTCATGCAAACCATTTGGTTTTCTAGCTCCTGATTGTCTCAAAACAAAGCTTCACTTGAGTTTTTGTTTTAGGCTACAATTTTTGGAAGCTTTCTCCACCTTACAAGCGCATTTTGTTTGGCGCGCATTTAACTTTCTTTAAGTGTTGTCAAAGTTTACCAAAGTAATGAAGTTAATCAAGATTTCTTGTCGGTCTTGTCGGCAAAAGCGGCCGTTCTTATGTCTGTTTTCTGTGTTGCTCTAATTAGACTTATTATTAGGATAAAACTACGGCTGACTTTGCGGAGGCTATGGAGTGTGCGTGTAAGAAATGTTCGATGGCCTTCTCGTGGGAGTGAGACGAAGAAGTCTCCTCGGCCCCCACCCCTCCTCCTCCCCCTGCCCCCATCTGTTCTGCTTTGCCCATGTCTGTGTACACACTTATCAGTTCATCCGCGTCATCCCCGTAGATTTTGCTTGTCATTTCGGCCACCTGGAACAAAACCAAACCTGTCACGAGACATAGATATTGCACAATTTCGGTTTCAACAAGCAATGAGCAACTTTTTGTCGTCTTCATGATTTTCTCAGCAACTTTTTCAGATATAGATTTGAAATTTAGAGAAAAAAGTTTTCAAAAGGAGCTAGCTGGATCCAAATTTCAGAAACTTTATTATTGTTCCGACTTTCCATACGAAAGTAACGGAACAATTGTGCTCGGGGTGGGTTTTTTTTTCTTCAGACAAATTTCGACTTTTTAAGTAGCCATTTTTGACGGATTTTTTTATGATTCAAAAGGTATTGTTGTCCTGGGCTTGAATTTGAAAAGATATTTCACCTGTGATCATTTTTCGTAAAGTTATGAGGGTTTAAAGGTTGTCATTTTGACCAATTTGGGACAATTAACGCGCGATATAATTCGAGCTATTAACGCGTAAGCGGAGATTTAATCCGTCTTAGAAATCATTCCAAATTGGTTGAAAGAAGCTTATTTGCCATAATTGGTTTGTTTCAAAGAACGAAATCTATCCTTTTGTACTTTATATGGCGTGTGGGGGGATGATTTTCATTTAAAAAAATTCAAACTAAAAAAAAAAATTTCATTTTATTTTATTTCAATTAATATTTTTAAGTTATTTTTGCTCCATAAATCTTAAAAGGCAGTCGGAAAATTCAGGGCTTCGGCCTGATACGAGCGGTCTTGTTAAATGTAATTATCCAGTTATCCAGTATATCATAACTAATTTTGAAGGTGTTCTTAGTTTTGAATCAACCTCGCAAACAGCGCGTGGATTTTGAACGCGGGGGCCAAATTGGCTTTACTCTAAGCTGATGAAATCGACTAGCTCTTTATGCCTTGGAAAATTGACCGACGAGAATTGATAGTTTTACTTGGGGCAGCGTCAATAAACGGTTGTATCTTATTTGACGGTACAGACATTAAAGGTCGTGGGCACCTATGCCAGAAAAGTGCACAACTTTAGGGACCACAAAAAAGCTTATGGGAACAGCGTAGATCAGAGCACTAATGTTCCGAGATGATTCCTAGAATAGTCCTTTTGTTGGCTTATTTCGATCAAAAGTGCAGAATTACTCAGAATTTTTTACCCTTTTTTTTGACGCCAGATCGAGATAATTTTTTCAATTTTTTGTCTTTTTTTCTTGTATACTTTTAAAAAAAATATGGTAGCAATAAAAAAAATCTAAAGAGTGAATCAGTTTATAAGTTTATTATTCACTCCCAACTCAAATCTAGCTTGAAAACTGGAACTATTCAACAAACTCGACTTACTCGCTATGTCGGAATCATTTTTGAAATTTTCTTACAAAGAATTTGCAAAACAATTATGCTTAGGGTGTCTTTTTTGAGTCAATTTTCGATTTTTAGACTAAGCATTCTTAATGGAAGGTTTTTATGAATATTTTATATATATTTTCACCTGTTATCAGTTTTCAAAATTTTGAGATAATTAAGATGATACTACTTTAATGTCATGAAATATTTTTTGAGTTAATTTTCTTTAGTGTGAGACAAAGTTATCCTACACCATTATTTGTTCCTGCTCTTTCGACAGTGGTTTTGTTTTGTTTTTGTTTTGGCCACTCGTGGAAATGAACATTATATAACTAGTGGTGAGGATAATTTAATTTTGGATGGATAAATTGATCTATGGCTACGTTACGCTGAACTACTGAGCAAACAAGACTGCTCGTATATCAGGGAAAAGCTCTGAACGTTCCTTGATGATCCCTGACTGTCCCTTAGTTCATATCGAATGGGTTTGGGAAAATAAAATATGGAAATCAATTAATTTTGGACAATATCGAAAAGCAAATTTTAGAGTCGTGCGAAATAACTACAACCAATTAGCTAGCATCAATGATGCGATTTTTTGGGCGGGCTAATTTGCCACGTATAAAAATTTTGCGTTAAGATCTCAGCATTATGAATAATTTCTTCAAAGCGCGAATAATTTAGTCCAGAAAATGGCCAATTCGGCACTTTTCCAAACCCTCAGATTTTTTCAAAAAATGTTCGCACATCAAATATCTTTTTCAATTTTAACTCAAGAAGTCGATATCTTCAAGGGGGTCAAAGAAATTTTCGTTGAAAACTATTATTTTGATCAGCGAAAATTGAATGAATAACAAAACTACACCGAGCATAATATTCCGTTTTCTTCGAAAGTCGGAAAAACAATGATGATTCAATTGCATTGCTCCAATTGATCGCTTTTTAAATCAGGAAATTGTCGCTTGGGACCAATTGTCAAGATGTCCATTAACTTCTGCAGTATAACTCATTGCTCTCTAAATCTCAAAAGAAAATGCTCAATCTCAAATATTTTGAACGATCAAAAAACTATAAGAGACGGCTCAAACATCACAACAAACCTTTGTAAGTTCCGACTGCACTTTCAGACCAAATTAAAAGTTTTTTTCTTTGAAAAATTGACGTAAAAATTTAAAAAAAAATAGTTTTGTAAGTGATCTATGTTTTTAAGTTTGAGCTAAAAAAATAAAATCTTTCAGATGATTTAAAAAAGTTTGTCACAATTGTTCAGTGTAAACGTTGACGGAAAATCTGAATAAAAAACCACAAACATAACTATTCCACACTTTCTTCTTAAGTCGGAACAATAAGGTCACCCCTCTTTACAGCAGAAGCAACACTTTTGACCCTTTTCATGTAAAACATGACTGCTCATATAGTTTATAAAAAATGAATAAATTGTACAAAAGAATGAAAAAAAAGTACGCTTTATAAAATACAAGGTGATTTACTTCGCTCACAAAAAAATAACAAGACTGCTCGTATCAGGGCGAAACCCTGAATGTTCCGACTGCCTTTTAAGGCTTATGGAAAAGTAATAACATTAAAAAACTCAATGAAATAAAACAAAATGAAAAAATTTTTTCTAAAATTTGAGTTTTTTTTTAAATAAAAATCATCCCCCCACACGCCATATAAAGTACAAAAATATAGACTTCGTTCCTTGTAACAAATCAATTATGTCAAATAAGCTTCGTTCAACCAATTTGGAACGATTTATAAGACGGATTAAATCTCCGCTTACGCGTTAATAGCGCGAATTATATCGCGCGTTAATTGTCCCAAATTGGTCAAAATTGCCAAAATGGCAATCTTAAAACCCTCATAACTTTACGAAAAATGATCACAGGTGAAATATCTTTTCAAATTTAAGCTCAGGACAATAATACCTTTTGAATGATATAAAAAAGTTCCGTCAAAAACGGCTAGTTAAAAAGTCGAAGTTTGTCTGAACAAAAAAAAACCCACCCCGAGCACAAATATTCCGTTACTTTCGTATCGAAAGTCGGAACAATAAATAGCACTCCTCAAATAGCATTCCTCACTAATTTTGAAACAATTTCTAATACGGATTAAATATCCTCTTACGTGTTATTAGCACGAAATATATCGCGCGTTAATTGACCCAAATTGGTCAAAAAGGAAACAATTAAACCCCCATATCTTTTCAAAATTTGATCACAAATGAAATATGATTTTGAATTTGGGCACAGGACAACAATACTTTTCAAACGATGTAGAAAAATTGGTCAAAACTTGCTGGTTAAGATGTCAAAATCTGTCGGTAGAAAAACCATCCCGAGCACAAAAATTTAATAGTAAATTTCTTCAATAGTCGAAACAATAATACGACTGAGGAGATTGCGCTGGGAAAAGAAGCATTTGTGGTCAAAATAATTTCAAAAACTTCCAAAAACATTTTCAAAAACTGCCAACTTTCAAATAATTTCTTTTCATAATAAGGTATATAAATTGTTTTTGGAGGAGCTTGGAAAACGAATTTAGTCAACAAGGGAAAAGGTCACAAAATAAAAAAAATTTTGACAAGGAAAGGTTGCCACTCCCTCGAGAAAATTCTATATCTGCGCCTGTTACAGCATAGTGAATGTTCCGAAGTCCCGACTGAGGTGGCATGCATAAAGCACCAATATGGATCTTTTGTTGACATAAATTCAAAACGACAAGTGCAACTAGCCTGCTCGAAGCAGGTGAGGGCCTGTTGGCTCTTCTTCTGGCAGAAATAGAGTCTACCAAGTGCCGTGGCTATGGTGTTGTCAGTCCTCAGCATGGCACTGGGGTCTATGACACTGCTGCTGTTTCTCTCCCGCGAACACCTGTCCGCCTTGTTCAGAGCACTCTCCGCCTCCTCGAACCTAAGCACCAATAATTACAATTCGAAAAAAAAATTAAAAGTTTTGAAAAATGGACAGATTTTTGGTTCTTTACCTGGTGGGGACATGGTATACAATTGAATTTTTTAACTAAAATTAATAGAAAGTTTGATTATGAGCTTTTGAGTTAGTGTAAAAATAGTTTTCATTACCTCTTGAGCTTAGTGAGTGATCGGCCCATGACAAGAAACATGTTCAATTTCACCAGGAGCGTATTGTCGCGCTGTGATGGGCTCTGCTGCTGGGCAATTTGGGAGATAAGCGCCCTTGCAGTCTCACAATGGAGACGGGCTTGCTCCGCCAGTCCTGAAAGTCGATTTTTAGAAAATTTAAACGCTCCAATTGAAAAAGAAAAGAAACGTTAGAATTTAGGTATATTTGCAGTAATTTAAGGCTGGGCTGAGGAGAGAAAATGCCACGATTAGCCCCTATTAAAAAGAATAACTTGACACTTAAAAAAAATGAAGTACATAATGATTTTGAGTCCAATTTTGAGTGACGTGCATATGATGACATGAAAATTCATCCAAACTGAAAATCCAAGAGTAGAAACCTAAAAAGAATACGTTAAAAAAGTTACTTGATTTTTTGTTTAGAGTGAAAATTAAATACCTCTGAGTTCGAGGTATGCCCTGGCGAGTGAGACGTATGCTTCCGGCACTCTCCAGTGACTGTCTCCGAACACAATGCGGGTGAGAGCCAACACCTTCACTTGCTCAGCCATCGCCTCCTCAACCTGCAATCAAAACAGACTCTAGTTGATTCAACATACTGCTGAAGACATAATTTTGGCATCCATAGCAAAAGGAAAAATATTATTAAAGTCATTTTGTTGAAAAACAAATGAAGATAATAAAAAAATAAAGTTGAGTAGGTAAAAATTTGACCACCATCATAGTTATCGCTGCAAAATAATTCCAAATTTCTTCTCAAAAATTGGTGCAGTGATTTCTGGGAGTGGGGTTGGGTGGGGGTGGGGGTTTAGCAGTGATCACTACTTGATGCAATGATTAAATGTATTGCTTACATTTATTAGTTTGTCCTACCCTTTTCTTAGATGCTAATTTAGCAGCCCTGTCAGTCGCCATTTTGAGCAGTTTATCCGGAGGGGTCAAATCAACATCCACCATCTGACTTCCCGCTCCTCCTCCCTCATAGAAAGCACTAGTTGGGGGTGCAGCTACCCGCATAGTAACAATGTTGTGACCCCTACGAGTGCTGTCCCGTTCAAAATCCGAGTTGTCGTCGTCTCCGTTGTCTTCGGAAGTTGATACGATGTTGCTGCTGTTTCCGTTCTCACTGAAACTTAAAAAAAGTTTACTTCGAAAAAAAACTTTCTCTACCATTCCAAAATATATTTGTTCATAGTAATTTTTATGAAGTTATTTTGGCCAATTGTCTGATATTGCGATGTCAAGTGTGAGAAACAAATCTGATTACAATTGCTATTTTGTTCCTTGAGAGATATTGTTGTCTTGAGATCAAATTTGAAAAACATTTCACCTGCGATCATGTTTTGTAAAGTTACGGGGGTTTGAAAATAGCTAATTTGATCATTTTGTGATCATTAAAGCGCGATTTAAAGCGTTCTTATAGCACTTGTAATTGGCAAAAGAATGGGTTCCAAATTGAACTGAGGCCAGCATTTTAGTTTTTTCTTAAAACAAAAAGAGACACTGAACATATTTTTAATTTCACATAACATGCGGAGAGTTACAATGAAGAAACAAATGTGAGAGAAATTATTCAACCATTGTTTTATTCGTTTAAAGAACAGTCGGAACTGATATAAGAGCAGTCTTGTAGCCTTTGGGCGGAAATGTTCTGACCTTTCTGCAGATAACAGTCTTGCGAGGGCATCAACTCGAAATTAGTTTTTAGTTACTTCATCTAGATCTGTTGGTTATTGCCAGTTTTGCGCATCATTTAAAGTCGTTTCTGTGCTTTTCTAAAACCTATGCCAAGAAATAATTATTCTCTTAAAAAGTTTTTAAATGAAAGCTCGTTTTGTTTGAAAAATTTTATATCAGAATTAATATTCGTATAAGATTCTTATTCCATGATCCACGAAATGTTACATGAATTTTTAAATAAAAATTGAAATAAAGAAATTTGGTTGGAGTCTAAGAGTTGGAGCATTGAAAGTGTTTTCAAAAACATTTGTCAAAACTTGCAACCAAGCTAAAATTTGCTGAAAAAATTGAAACTACCGGTGTAGAAAAATGTCAGCGTCAGTTTTTCTAGTTTCCTAAAAACTGAATCAACAGGGTTTGTCTTAAATTTTTGGAGTTAAAGTTAAACTTGTACATACACAAAGAAAAAGGCGCGCGATAACTTCAGAAACTAATGTAAGAAAACTGCTCTGCAAAAACTTAGGTGTTTCATCCATTCTGCAAAAGGGAAATTCAGTGCATGGTCTGATTTCGTAAATGCTTAACTGTTCATTTTTTTCTCAATATGGGGATAGGTTCAATACAACCCTAGTCGATCAAGGGGGGTTAACTTGCAAGGTCTTTCAAGATGAAGGTTATCTTGCAAGATGTAGGCTATCATGCAAGAGTCTTGCAATACAATTATCCCAAAACATCGGTCTAAAAAAATCATTAAAAATTTTTCTCGATGAATCATGTGTGTTCTGTTTGCAGTGAATCAAACTTTCCTGAACTCAGAAAAAAAACTTGAAATATTTTTGATATTTGTTTTGTTTTTCCAATCGAAGCAAAAATTTTTCAATTTAATTTTTTATAGAGCCTATTTTTTGTCGATTTAATAGTTCTTTAATTGAGAAAATATTTATTCTTCCTAAGATATTACGAGACCAAACTGTGTATTTTCAGAATCATAAGCGGTTTCCGCTACAAGGACGCTATCTTTGTTCTTCTTTTGTTCTTTCAATTTCTTTGATCGTTCCGCCCAAATTTTAAAATGTTTAAAGACTTGTTTCTGGAATCCAGGAAGATACAGACACAAAATTGTGCGCCTATCCAGAGCACAGTTTGGCCTCGAGTTAATTCGTTTTTCTGGTGAGGAGGTGGCGGGGGTAGTAAAGGACGAAAGGACAATTGTTAATGGGGAGTAAGGTGACAAAAAGGCAATACTGGAGGGGAGGCATTAGAAGTATTTAGAGTTCGAAAAACTTTAAATTTAGAAATCGAGTTGGCTGTGCTCTTGTTCTGCAGAATTTTTGTAACACTCATTTAATAAACGCAAAGCAAAAATGAAGCGGAAATATCTGTTGTCATCGATTTAAAAAGGAACATAAAAACTTTGAAACAGTGTATTATAATCAAACTAGTCAAATTTCAGTTGTTGGGTTCCGTAGAGTCTGTTTTTATTATTGCGAAAAACAATTTGCTGGTTTTTTCGAAAAGCCTTTTTCAGCGTTTCATGCATCCTTGTTTTTCGGAGTCTGCTAAGAGCTTCAAAAACGAGTTTCGAAAGTAAATCCTTTTTTTTCTTCTTTTTTTGAATATTGTTAATAAAAAGCTATTGACCAAAACCATAGTCAAATTTTGATGAAATTTTTCATGGCTAGAATTAATTGAGAGCAATATTTTACTCTTATTTCTTCCATTTAATCAAAACTTGTAAAAAAAAAATGCGAGAAACTTACACAATTCATTCGAAAAATTTTCCTAGAATGAGAATACTTTATAATACTTTATATGTGCAGGACGATTCATGAGCAGCCTACAACATCGAGCAGCAGCGTACTTCATCAATCATCAAGATGAGTTTTGCTGCTAAGTGGCGGCTCTATATTGGGGACTTAGTTGTTTCTGGTTTTTGAGGTTTTCAAAATTTGCGTTTTCATAAAAAAATGAGTTCTCTTAAATGCTCTCAAAAGTTATCCAAACTAGAGCCGTCACTATCATCGTCATTACCATCAGCGATCAGCAAATAAGTTTGAAGCTTAAGTGATGACTCAACAACTTAAAAGTCCTTAAAAAACAAACGTACTGGTGTGAAAAAAACCGAGTTAGAAAACCTACTTTTCGTCTGGTGCGAACATAATTGTGTGCAAACGTAGAAAACAAACGTAATTGGGTGAACAAACTGAGTTAGAAAATTTTCATTCTTCAATTTTCATTCTTTAATTTTCATTCTTTGCTTGGATTTATGTCTTTTCGCCTAAAACAATCCTCTTTAAAAGAATATTGCAAGATTCTGGCAAGCTCTTTCAGGGCAACCTCCCTTGATTGACTAGCGAAGGTAACCTTGGGGGGGGGGGGGGGATAATTAGTAAGATACGGCGGAAATCATAAAGAGTACAGATTCAAAGGCTTTTGTTTTGTTCTAAGCCACCAGGTGAAAAATTCCCTAGTGTAACTTTTGTTCATGGTGCCCGGGTGCGGCAATGGAAGGAGGGTTTATAGGTTGATTGAGCCGACTCACATTCCTGAGTCGTTGTTGTTGGGGTTGTTTGGATTGAGGCTGATTTGAGAGAGGGAGTTGTCGGGCGAGGCGATGGCCGAAGTGGCAGTTTCCTCCTCTCCCTCGAACTCATCACTCGAGGGGTGAGACATATTGGATAATTAACAGCTTGAAATGGTCAATGAATTTAATTGTTTTATTATGCAGATAAGAAGCTCAAAAGGGCAGGTGATTTCCTACTAGATGATCTTCAAAGATGATCCTCAAATCAGCAAAATACTGAAGTCATCTTGCTTTCCAGCTTCGAGCTTAACAAGGACTGAATAAAAAATAAAGAAAAAAAAACAAGAATAATACAGAGTTCCGGAAATGCTTTTATAACATTTATATGTTGCCCCGCTCTGCTAATTCAGAAAACTTTCAAAAAACTGTTCTTCTGCTTCTCACGTTTATCATTAAAAATTGTTGAGATTCAGCAAAATGGTATATTGTACATGTTGTACGGCAGTCTGTAAACATTTATGTTGTTTTTGTAAAAAGATTAAAGTGACAGCTATAATTGCATGAACAACGAAAAAGGTAATTCTTGTACATTGAAAAGCTATGGTTTGAGAAGAAAAAACTCATCAATGAAATATGGCTGAAGCACGTGCGTTTCTCTTTTTTCGAGTTTTGACCATGTGCAGTTGAACATTTACTTTTTGACTGTAAAAAATTTTCAAGCCAGAAATTGCATCTAATAAATTTTCTTCAGATTGTCACATTAATTGGGAAAATATATGGTTATTATGTTTTTCCACCATGAAAAAATTGACCGTTAGGAAAAACATGTCGCCAACCATGCGATACCGGAGTCACTGGAAAAGCATGCTCTGATTTTTTAATGCTCAAGCAAATAATGGATCTTGAAAGAAAGATTTTGAAAGGTTTAAATTTTTCAATGTTTCAAGCGAACCAAAATTACGTCTGATTATCGAAATTGAACTATAACTGAAAAATATGTAGTAGTATGTTTTAAATCAAGTAGAAAATAATATTCCGGATGTTGCAAATTGAAAATTTAAACGTTGATCACAGGAATGGTTTGGGATTTTGTTTTAAAAAAGTTTTGATTTTCTTTTAGGGGACTAGGAGAATAAGTGCTTCGTTAATTAGCTGCAGCTTCATTCAAAGTAATTTTACACTTCGTATTCAATCGCATCCCAAATCATCAATTTTGCTTCAAAACCAAACTTTTATCGGCAAGTTTTTGAAAACTTTGCGGTTGAAGATGGTGCTCCGACTGAAAGATCTTTTATAATTTGTTATATCACACGATTTCATCTCAATTTTGTCCGCAGTACATCAGTATGCGCAAATAAAACTATAAATGAAGATTTGCTTAGCCCTTAATTAATGATATTCTTCGACAATCGGACATCCAGTTAATTATTTCAGAAAATTTTATCCTGGCCCGAACCTAATATTTAACCTTTGGTGATCGAGCAAATGGAAAATGGAAAGTTGAAGCTCATTTCAAGTGCCGATTTAAAAAAAAAACAGTTAAAATACAGTAGAAAATTTTTCTTTTCTCAGTTTAATGGTAAACTTGTCTGTATATGTTTTAGCATCAAAATCAGGCTTCGCGAGCTTTATTTGTCTCTTAAACAATTTTTCCTTTTTGCTTGAAAATACCAGTAGTCGCAGGTAATTTCTCTGTTTCTTAGGAACTTTTGTAATCTTTTATAAAAAAATCCCTCTTCGTTGCCAAAAACGAATTCAAAAAAATTTTTACGAGCTTGTTTGAATTCTTCACACTTGAAACTTGACAGAAACAATTTATTTGATTCCAGTTTTTTTCTGTTTCTCAAAAATTTAGGCCAATTTTTTTATCCAGAGACGTGTAGTGGTTTACCTGATAAAATTTTTTTGCTGATTTAAAAAAAATTCATTGTTGGCATTTAAGGTTCCATGACCTTTTACCCTAATCCAATCTACCCTGTGCCAATCTAGTCTATACTGTTCTATCCTATGTTCCAAACTACCTTTTACACTTCTAAACCAAAATAAATGCAACGGAAGCTTACTCCATCCTCTTGAAGAAACCAAAAGCGAACATTTCCGAACAAATCAGTGAACTATTCACTTTGACCAAAGAATAATTGCCACACACGAATGAAATATCAAAACAAAATAAATTCGTTTGTTCTAAATGGAAACGAGATCAAAGCATGAAAGAACAGAAACTTTAATCCAACCTTGTAAAAAATGCCTTGCGGCTATTTTTCAAACGAGCAAAAGGTATATCATATTAAGTCGATATAACGTAGCGGATAATGCATGCGTTTTAAAATTAAAAGTTCGAAAGATCAACTCACCGAGAAGTCAACTTTTGAATTAAATGTTTGACTAGTTGATCACAAAACGAGGGTTAGACCTACCAGTATCAGGCCAAGGTGATACTGGGGGCGGTGTAAGGAAGAAGTAAAAATTGTTTTTATTATGGCCTCTATCCCCTCTCAAAATAATAGTCATCTAGGGCCACGGAAATTTCAAAAAATGCTTGTTTTTTTTTTAGAAAATCAACTAATATTTTAAGGATATCATGAAAATTGATAAATATAATCAGAATTAGGAATGAACTGCGCGAGAGACTACAAAAATGTTAAAATAGAACCATTGTTTAAAATGCTGCAAAAGTTTTTCACTTTCTGATTCAACTCACTGTACTTCTTGCGGCAATTTTGCTCTTCTTCCCACCCCCTGCTTTCAATATATCGAAATTTTGATTTGCAGCATCCAGTTTGATTTTCTGCAGAAGAGGAATATTGTCGTGGAGATCAGGCTTTTATTCGATCAGACACTTTTTAGATGCTGTTAGACACTTTTTCAGATAAGTTTGCGATCTCTTCAAAACCCATGTCGAAAGTTGCAGTGACTATTTCAACTGGTATTAAAATAGATTAAGGCGCGACGTTAACTTGAGTTTGTGATTAGTTTTATATGGAAACCTTAGTCTCACTCAAAAATTAAAGAAGTAAAAATAACAGACCTTAAGCAACGCTCCGGTATGATGACTAGCAAAAGCATTCAGTGCTGCACGTTCAAACTCGAGGAGAATGCGGTGAGGCTCTTCTTCAAACTCCTGCTTTCAATATATCAAAACTTTGATTTGCAGCATCCAATTTCATTTTCTGCAGAAGAGTAATGTTGTCGTGGAGATCAGGCTTTTATTCGATCAGATACTTTTTAGATGCTGTTAGACACTCTTTCAGATAAGTC